CCACCCTACAGGTCTGTTGCTCTGTTCAGACTTGACCATCCTTTCTTGACTTCCCTACCCAGACCTGGCTGAGTGTTAGTGGCAGAGGTGGCCTTTTCAAAAGACCCTGTGGTCTTGCAGAGCCACTGCTTCAGGAGCGCTGGTGCAGAGTCTCCTTGTGCTCTCTGTCCTGGAGGCAGGACCAGCAGGTCATCTTCCTCAAACACCTTATCTTATCCAGAGGAAAGGAAAGCAGGCAGTAAGAGAGTGTTCTGCACATTGCTTGGTCTGGTTGAAACGTCTTGTTCCCTGATACGCCTGCAAGGCTGATGGGGGAGCACACACGTTGCTGTCCTGCTGGGTTTTGGGGGAGAAAACAACCAACAGCTTGTGTGCCTTCCTCCAGACCTTCTCTAATAGGAGTCATGTCAGTGTTTTGGTATTGTGAGTAAATGTCCCTGGTGTGCTGGGGTTAGGCACCATCACAGCACTTCCCTTCTCTTGGCTGGAGAAGAAGCCCAGGCAGCTCCTTTTCCTTCTCCACAGGGCAGAGGGAAAGGAAGAGGAATGAGATGGGAGGGTCTGAACACTGGGGCCATTGAGGGTAGGCTGAAGCTGGGCTCACAGCAGCCCTTGGTGCTTTCCCAGCTGCTCATTCCCATTGGCATCCTCAGGGTTTGGCATCAGAGGTGGCTTGTGCAGACTTGTCACCCTTCTGCCCCCTCTGCTCCAGCAACACTGAGTGAGGAGCAGAGCATCACAAGCCACGAGCCATCAGGTATGAAAACCCACGAACCCTGCACAGAATCTCCATTGGAAAGCAAATGGCAGGGTCTTCTCAGGGAAGTGGCTGTGCCAGCTCCTGCCAGGCTACACACACAGGGATATTTGGGGGCTGTAAATGACACAGGGTAGTCATTAAAAACTAATGGCAGGTAGAACACAGCAGCTGAGCATAATGACTGCCTGCTTTAAGGGACAGTTAAGAGGCATTTCTCTCCTGAGGCAGGAAGTGAGATGGGAAGAGCCCCCAGCCATCACTGCTCCAGTGGAAGGAGACAAGCTCTGGGCAGGGTTTGTGAAGGGATGCTTCTCTGCCCTCCAGGTAGCATGTATTCCCACCACACTCTGCAGCATGCTCAAAGTGACCACAGCTCATCAGCACAGCTGATTTCCACCCAAAGCTACATCCTTTTTGCAGCAGGCAAGAGCTTAGAGCAGCATCCAGCCCCTCCACCTATGCTGCATAGCAGAGAAAACTGCAGCCCTGCAGATGGGTGCTGAACCCCCAGGTATCTGCATGAACCTCCTGGCTGGTTGTGGGTAGAAACCTTCTCGTCTAGCTCAAGATAAGCAGACTTCAACCAAAACAGATGGTTTAGCAAAGCAGGGAGAGGGGAGCAGAGCAGCCAGGGGAGTGTGGGTAGTGTAAGCTGCAGCCCAGACATCAAGGACAAGCAGCCTGGCTTACAGCAAGGCAGACTGGGAGTTATCCTCTGTGGGTACAACACTGCCAGTCCTGCCTGCCAGTTTGGCAGACAGCAAGTGCCATAAGGACTGCTGGTTCCCAGGACAGCTGTGTCACCATGTGCCATCCACCTCCATGCCAAAATGACAGCACATGTCCTCCCCCAGCCCACTGCCACCAGAGCTGTGCCACTGGGTAACTGGCTGCTGGTGGATGCACTGGCCTTGCTAGGGAGGAAAATGAATGCAATAAATAATGCCTTACATTGGCAAACACCAGCTCAGACCAGCAAGTGGGGGGCTAGGAAAAGGGATTCACTGGCTCATCCAGGGCCCCAGAGGTGTCATGCAGTGGATCTGAATGCACAGTATGGGCACAAAGCAGAAACAGGTCATGGTTCTGTGCCTTGGCTCTGGAAAATTCCTGCCACTGGGAGATTTTCAGGCAAGAAAATAATGCAGCAATGTTAAGACTTCCATCCTTAGCTTCCCTTATATGAAAAAGTAATAGAAAGTGTCTGCAACACGTTCCTTAAAGTGTCTCCAGCCCCTGCAAGTGCTTCTATGTAATTAATTCTGCTTTAGATAAATGGTGAAGGATTCGGAAGTCCCAAACCTCTCTAGGAGTGAATAAACTGCAACTATGTCAGAAACAACCTCAGTGTAGAAGTATGAAAAATTTCTTACAAATACAGTAACTGTTTCGTTCAAACTTTAGCTGGTTTTCCTTTCTGTACAACAAGTCACATGAGACAGGTAGGCACAGGAGTCATCCCCCAGGTGAATTAAGAGACAGCAGACAGGGACGGACACACGCGATGCTTCTCACAGGGCTGAAAGCCTGAAATAAATGGATGGGAGCTGGGCAAAGCAACAGTGTAGCCTGTAGCACTGGCCACTGGGCTGGGAAATGAGCGACCCTGGAGAGATTCCAACATCCTTCTCCTTCCTCCATCCCTTCTGTGTTTCTCATCAGCACAGGCATTCTCCTCCTGGGTTTGTGGGTACACGCAGCACCCATGGATCCTGCCCAGCATCAGGGCCCCATGATGCTATTACCTGTTTGGTTAAAATTTTGTGAGTGGGCAGGGAAGGGGGCAAGAGGGACACTTGCTAGGTGAAGGGACTGATCCAGAATGATTTGTCATGTTTATATGGTCATGCAGTATCCTAAAAAGCACTGTATTAAACCTAGGCTGAGTCTGTGTTCCCTGCTCCTACTTGGTTGGCCTGTGAGTTCAATCACGTTGCTGGGGTCCAGTGACTTCTTTCTCATGGCCCCATCTAGCTCAAAAAGTCACTTGGATATCCTTGACTTGCAGGGGCTGCAACAGTCCCTTCTTCCCAGCACTTGCATCCCAAATGGAAAGTTTGTTCTGTCATGGAAAGATATCTGCCCAGACTCAGACTTCCTGAATCTAAGTGACATTCAAGCCCAGTTCTCCTGAGACGTGCCCCTCAGGCAGAGGTCAGAGACAACTTCTAAAGATAGGTGCAATTTCCTGAGAGACCTGTCTTTCATGAAATGGGCAGTTTCCTATCTCTAAGAGCCTTCTCTTTAGCAGAAAACCACTTAAAGCAGTACAAAGACACACAGGACACACAGACATGCACTGAAAGATAGAAGCAGCACCTTAATTTACTAGAAAACAGCACATCTCTTCCTCTAGATTTTTCCACTTGTAAAGCCCAAGATGCAGCTGTCTCCTCCTGCCAGCCCTCTGCTTTCCAACATCTGGCAGGGTAGTAAAGGTCAAACGACAGAGCAAGTTGGGAGACATGCAAACAGTTAAGCCATCGTTTTGCTGAAGTCATGTTTTCAGTTCCTGCAAAACAAATAAATACATATTAAAAATACCCGGGTGCCCAGCAGTTAAGGTTGTACAAAGATGCCCTCTGCCGGTGACAAGCCCACGGAAAGCCATCGACCTGAGCTCTATGCCACCGATTTGCAACTTCCCTCCCTCCTTCTATAGATGAACCCCTAAAAATATTTCCTATGGAGGGAAATGTGCTGTAAAACTTTATTTATGTATTTATTTTTCCCCATAACAGCTGAGAAGACCTAGCAGCAAACTACCAGCAAGGGCACTCCAGCTTCCCCTCTCCTTTGTTTTGGATCTTACAATCCTTGGGTAAGTCAAACAGCTTCAGTTAAAATCCAATATGAAAACAAAAGCATGGAGAGAAATGTTCTGCCAGGTTGGTCAGCTGATCTGACTTGATGTGACACAAGGAAAGTGGTGAGAATACAGGGCAGGGAAAAGAGAGACACATTATCTGAGGCTGGCTTTTATGTAGTGGTTAACTTTTGCAGGCATTTGAGGCATAGCCCACAAGTCCCTGCAAGTCAAAAACAGCTCTTGCAGTCAATACTATGAGCTGAAAACTATCTGAGGCATTTAATCAATTCAGAGCATGTTTCTCTGTTTGAAATAGCAATGTTATTTGATTTTAAACAATTTCTAAGAAGTATTGAGAGCTTGTTCAAATTACACAAATTGCAGATTTTGAATCTTTTAAGTCAGTGTATTAAAACAATGCAGATCTATTGCATGCATACATCAGTATCCACTCAGTTCTTTCTTGTATCAGTTTAATTCTTGCTGGTGTAAATCCCTGACTTAATTTACTGACTGGGAATTAAATCAGCATGAACTGGTTTCAGTGCATCTGTGCTGGGTATTTGTGATGATCAAAACAGACCGTTTTAAAACAATGTATTTGGATTAGAAATCTCCACTGCCAGAAACAAGCTCTTAAGAGATGCAATATAATAATCTTGGACACTAAAGAAAAGCACAGGCAGTGAGTGGGCAGCCCTCTCCTCCCACTTCATTCTTTCCCACTGAAATTGAACCCTGTCTGCAAAAACATTTCAGTCAGGAGTGAGTTTCATGCATGTCCTCCAAGTGCTGGGAGTCCAGGGAAACGGACAAGCTGCAACAATCAGGTTGTCTTTGGAACAGATGTCCAGTTGGCCAGGGGCTCTGCACTGGGAGCTATTCTGGAACCAAACATTTTCAGTGCATGTGGGCAGCAGGGTGCTGCTCTTTTTCCATCCTCGAGTTTAGAGGAGTATTAACAGTGATATGAACAAGGGGATTTCCTTGTGCTAATGACCAACCCTGTACATCATGTACCTACAGGGGTCTTTGTGTCCCATCACCCCCCCTGGTATTGCTGGGGGCCACAGCTCTCTCTGGCTAGCTGGTCAATGTTTTTGGGATTTGTTTTCATGCATAATACGCCCTGGCAAACTCTAGGTTTCCCTGGGAATGGCAAAGAGGCTGTGTTCTAGCTTTCCACTACAACCATGGTTGGGATCACATGGGCTTTGCAGAGTTGCTAAGGGGTCCCACCCAGAAAGGTGTACGTGGTTCTGCTGCTTCTCCATTACAAGGGGTTTGCTGATGCTGGACCTGCAAGTCTTTTCTACTTTGTGCTTCCCAGGAAGGAGCCTGTTTTACTGGGAGAGCTGGAACAAGCTCAGATCTCTCTCTTCAGCATTTCATACAGCTGGTATATACCTAGCCTCCTCACACCAGGCGAGGCTACTGTGCAGACTTCTCCCCAAGGTAGGAAGTGTTTTTCCCAGTCTTCTTTAGGGTTTCCAGGAGGGTGTCAACATTGTGCTCCGAGTCGATGCACACCTTCTTGTTGGGCAGGTCAATATCAAACTGAACACCTATGAGGAAAGGAAAAACACTTGGCAGAGCTAGAAGCAGCTAAATGGTGTGAGCACAGGGAAAGCTCACCCTCACACCTCTATGCTCCCCAAGGCCATCAGTCAAATGTACCTCTGCCTCCTGCCAGCAAAACCTGACACCACCACCAGCCAGCTAAGCCAAACTGGTGTCCTGCCAGCAATGGCACAAAGGAAGCCAGCTCTATAGATCTGCATCAAGCAGCACAGTTCCTCAGCTGCTTTGATCTGCTCACCCCACCTTGGATCAACACTATCAGTCACACGGTAACCAGAATGAGCTGAGTTTCAACCAACCACTATAATCTCCAACCAGCTCAGCCTGTGCTGTGGTTTAGCATGGATAGGCAATAAGGAGGGAGTTAAGCATAGGGGTCAGGATAGGGTCAGGACAGTGGTGGTACCACCTAACAGCTCTGAGTAGGAGGGAGGGAAAAGACACTTTCCCGTGTGGATTTCTCAGTGGCTAATAAGGGTAAGCTGCTCTCAGCCCTGTGCAAGGAACTGGACATGGCATCTTTATCCAGCCAAGTGTTTTCACAAAACTTGCAGGTGTGTATCAGCTTTGAGAGCTCTGCCACGTCATCATATGAGGCTGACATTGGCCAGACGGTTGAAGGGTGATAGAGGTGCTGACAAGCACACACAGAGGAAGTGGGATCACCACAGCCTGGTAACAGGGTGTGGGAGAGGTTGCAAGGCACTCTCCCTGGTGTCTGAAAGCTGTTCTCACTCAGTGAGGACAAGGGAGCAGGATGACAGGTCCTCACAACTGGTAAGTGTGGGTCTGAACCCTCTCTTGGTAGTTCCAGCACAAAGGAGGCACAGGTTATAATTTTCCAGGTGGTTTTAAAAACAAGCTATGCAGACAACCACTAAATGCTCTGCTCAGCAGCTCTTCTCTGTGACTGCTGATGACACATCTAGGGAAGCACCACAGATACCCCAGGCCTCCTGGGGAATAATGCCTACCCTGACATCCACCTCCCTTCCCTCTAGCAGCCTGAGCAGGGGGGGCTACCAGTGCAGTTCGCAGAGGGTTCATGGTGAAGCCCTGGTGATTCAGAGCCACCTGCAGCCACAGCAGCTCCTCCCTCCCTTGACATTTCCCCAAGGGTCATAAGAGTCCTGCTAACAACCAGTGACTCCTTACTGATGAAGCAGCAGAGAAGAAGCAGAGTGAGGAGCAGTTTCCAATGAGCCACTTCCAGCTTTTTACAGTGCTACCCTTGCAAGACAGAAGGTGCCAGGGCACTGACATCCTGCCCTGGTGCTGCCATTGCTCCAGGGAGCTGCCTGTCACACACCCAGCACCAACTCACCTCCCAGCCTGTGCAGGACACGGGTGACAGCATTGGAGCAGCCTTCGCAGGTCATGTCCACAAAGAACTCGTGTTTCTGAAACGAGGCAGGTGAGGGATCATGAACACATGTCCGTACCACGAGCACTCATCCTCCACACTTGACTTCTTCTTCGGAGTGGGTTTGAATCCTCCCCAACCAACAGTGACACTAAGGGATCCTCAGGAACACTGCGAGCTCTTGGTACTCCACCCAATGGTGTCCTTGTGCTGTCCCTCACAGCACAACTCCAGGGGCCTTTGGAGTCTGCATCACCCCTACTCAGAACCTTCAGGGTCAGTGCAGGTTGCCCTCTCTGTGGGTTGCTGGTGGGACTCATTCCACTTGCCCTCCAGAGCCCAGAAGCAAAGCTCCTGCCTCCAGACACCCACTGCCTTCAGTCTGCAGGGTTTTTGTGCTCACTCCTGCTTCTCTTGTGCCTACAAGGCCTCTGGTCCCCTACATAATGAACTCACAAAAATATTAACCAAATGGAGATGTTAGGACCTCTGGGACCCTGTGTTACCTTCACTGCCTTAGAAAGACACTGGGTGACTGTAACACTGATCATCACGTTCAACTCTTAGCACCAGCCCGACCCTAATTCCCTTCTCTGCACACGCTTTTAACTTCCCTTGTAAAAAAAAAAACCCCAACAACAGCAAAGCTGTTTTTCATTTGCTCCCCATAAATCTTTCTACCCTTCGCCCCCCCTCC